GGACGCGGGCCCCCAGGTAGGCGCCTCCCACGGCGCGGAGGGGTGCAGGCCGACATGCCGGTTGATTGCGGTGGGGCCCGCGGTCCAGATTTAAGTAAAAGCGTACAATTTTGTGTCGTCCGTTCTCCCCAGATGGGGAAATGCTGCCCAGATAAAATTCGGTCGGTTGTAATCTGTGGCTACATTTTACTTCTCGAGGTTAAAAAAAGAAAAACGAATTATCCGCAGTGGGACCCCACCAGGGGACGTAATGATGCCGTGGTCACAAACGAGAATAGAGCCGACCGACTCCCCACCCCTGCGTGTGGGGCCGAGCCCTCCGGGCAGCTCAAATCCAAGGGATGGGAGCCTCAGGGGAGGGGCCTGCCCGGTTCTGGGGCGGAACCCAGAACCAGATTATCCCAGCAGGCCAGGTCAGCCAAGGAGCAGATCATGGCAATCCCAGGACCGAGACCAAGTCACCTGCACCCTGTTGCCTCTCCGTCCTGCCTTTTTAGAATTGCTTCCTCTTGTTCTACTTTTAGCCCGAAGTTACAGATCCCACATTATGGACCAGCCAAATGGGTCAACCTCCGTTGAGTCTATGGACTGGGATTCAGCCATCCAAACTGGTTTTACGCAAGCTGAACAGCTACATTCAAGGCAAAATGAGAAAGGTGGAATATTTACCTTATAAATTATATGTATATGTATATATAATATATATGAGATACATATATATTATATATATATGCATTATATATATGTGTATGCAGCTATTATATATATATATAAAGGCTGAGTGCCCAGGCTTATTCACTTATTCTTGCGTTTTAGCTTACTAAAGAAATATTTATACTTTATGGGTGAAGAAAAATAATGAGACTGAAAAAAGACTTAAAGTGTGAAGAGACAGGGACTCTGCTCGGGGCCCCATAGCAGAGTCTAGGAGGAGGGTAGTACTGGGTAGTGCTTTCAGCCTCTGTTCTTGTCTGTTTCACCGGATGAACTGGGCCTCTGAGTAGCTGGGTGTTAAGTCCTTTTCATGGGCAATGCTTGAATAATTTGGTGACTGCTATGGTAATGAGGTAGGAAGGTACAAAGAAGAGATCCAGGCTCAGGAGACATCTGGTTCTGGCTCTGGTGCTATTTATTTCCACCAGTTCACTTAGTCTCACGGATCTCAGTTTCTTGAATTGTAAAACGAGGACGAATAGACTGGACTCTATGATCTCTAATTTTCCTTTCTATCCTAAAACTAGAATGTATTAACCAAAAATATTAATGCAGAAAGTGCTTAATGTGGCCAGTGGATAATTGAATCATTTTCCTTTATTATTATTATTTTGAGAGAGTGCATGAGTGAGCATGAAAGTGGGGAGGGGCAGAGAGACAGAGGGAGAGAGAGAGAATCCCAGACTGCACATAGTGCAGAGCCTGACATGGGCTCAAACTCACAACTGTGAGGTCATGACCTGACCTACTCTGAGCCACTTGTGTTTCTTGCCCTTATTTTTTTTAAAGACAGCATAAATTATCTTAAAGGTGGTACATGTGCTTTATGTCGGTGCATAAGGTAAGTCAGAACCTCAGATTGATCAAAGAAATTAATAGATTCAGTCTTTAGAAGTAGCCATGCAGATACTAAATCTGCTTTCACCCGGTCCTTTCATGGTATTTAAAACTCATTATTTTGAGGGCCCAGAGATGAAAATAAAGATGACGCTCCAGTGACAAGGCTACGTGGAGCCCGGGTTCAGGCCTTTAGCTAGCGAGTCTACCATTACCGCTTTCCCTGTACCATCCCCTCTGAACAGCAACCTGATCCTGATCCCAGGCCTTCAGAGTCAGATGTCTTCATTGAAGACCCAGTATGGCGTGTTAGAAACACCTGTCGTCCGGTAAGTGGTAGTAGATGTTTAGAGAGCCCTGTGGACTGCCAGTTCTTGCCTGCACTCAGTTTAGTACCTTTATGCAATTTCAGTGGCTTTTAGCCCTTGCACAAAAGAGGTCTGATGCATTTTGTGGTGTTTTCCTGCTGGGTTAGTTTTACATGTGTTACTAAGGGTCTCTTGCAAGGTGTAATCACTTCGTGTCATGAAGAGTCTGTCACAGACCTTCGGCAAATAAACGCGATGCACATCATTCTCAAAGCACAAGAACTGCCCTTACCTGCCATCGGTAAACCGATTAAAATCCTAACACGTGGTGCACGGTACCCCTCCTCCCGGCTTCGAGGTTCTGAGAGCCCCAGACTCTTCCTATGCCTTTCAGCCTAAGTGATGGTACCGCTTCCTGCAGTTACTGCCTCTGTTAGTTGAGTGGTTCCTAATATGTACCGCTTCAGATTCTGCGGTACCTGTTTGACACATTCCTTCAATTCTCTCTATTGAAATTTAAAAGCACACACGAATGTGATAACAGTCTCATGGGAGTCCCTTATTCCGTTCTGTCCCTCTTGTCACCACCAACCTGCTAAAAGCATCTGTTTCTCTGTCTCTGTTTCCATGTACTCCTCAGAACACCACCGTCTGGAAGAGACTGCACCATCTCCTTGAAACGTTCTTGCCACCCTTGGCGTGCCTCTTGCATTGTCACATGATGGCAGTCTGCCTATGTGACCCCTGAAGCCTTTGTGTATCAGATATATTGACTTTGTATATTGACTAATCTATTCTCTGGATACTTATACAGCCTGTTAAGTCTGAGCATCGCCACTCTCTGGCCGTTTTTTGTCTGCCCCGTTCCTCTCTTCACCTGTCCTCTCACCCTGTTCCTCTCTCTCACCCAAGAATGCTCCACATTGACCTCATGTCAGAACAGACTTACTCTGGGTGATCTGTTTACAAAGCTCTAACTCCCCTGTGTCTGACTCTCTCCTATTGTCTCTAGCCCTGATTTCTCTACTTTGTTGGACATTTCCATGTGAAGGGTGGATTAAACTCAACAGCTCTAAAAATGGAGCCTTCCCCCAATTGCCAGTTTATAGGGCAGTGATCTTCTAGTGGCTGTCTCAGAAAAGGACCTCATTTGACAATAAATTTCATATATTGAAAAAAATAAAATAAAGAGCTATAAAAAAAAAAGAAAAGAAAAGGGCCTCATCAGCCAGACAGCCTCCCCAGCAGAGGTCTCCACAGCCACCAGCAGCTCTTCCCTGACAACTGATTGCCAGATCTGTCCATTCTCCTTGGAAATGATCCATGATTCTGTTCCCTTCTCTCCATCCCTGGGACCACTTCAGGACCTCATCTACGGGAACCACATCCAAGTCACCTTCGTTAACCCTAGTGCTTGGCACAGTGCCCATCCCCGAGATGCATGCCGATGTTTATTCATCTCAGATCTCCGTGTGTTCCGCCTCAGCAGCCTCCCGCTGTTGGGAGCAACCTACCACAGCAATTTTCTCTTCCTGTCCTTCCACACTGGAGTCCTTGATCTTTCCTTACTATGGCAGCAGCAAGCAATAAACCCCAACCTGGGACTTCACTAAAAAATCTCTGCTCACTTTAGCTGGGGTGAAGTTCGGATTGTTCACGATGTCTTTATCACGTGACCCAACCCCATCTCCCCACTGGTTATGTTCCCCCTGACCTTCCCACCCTTCACTGAGCAGGCCATTCTTGCATCTCTCTCTGTCTTTTTTAAGTTCTGATTTAAGTTCCAGTTAGTTAACGTACATTGTAATGTTAGTTTCAGGTGTATGATACAGTGATTCAGCATACTTTGCACTACCCCGTGTCGTCACAAGCAAGTGCTCCTTCTTAGTCCCAGTCACCTATTAACCCAAGTATCCCCCCACCCACTTCAAACCATCAGTTTGTTCTCTAGATAAGAGTTCTTGTTTTTTGGTTTGGTTTTGTTGTTTGTGTGTGTGTGTGCCTTTGCTCATATGTTTGTTTCTTAAATTCTACATATAAGTGAAACCATATGGTATTTGTTTTCTCTGGCTTATTTCATTTAGCATTATTCTCTAGCTCCATCCATGTTGTTGCAAATGGCAAGATTTCATTCTTTTTTATGCCTGAGTATTCCATTGTGTGTGTGTGTGTGTGTGTGTGTGTGTGTGTGTGTGTGTGCATATTGTATACACCACATATTATGTATATACCACGTCTTCTTTATCCATTCACCAATTGATGGCCACTGGACGCTGGGCTGTTTCCATGCTTTGGCTGTTGTAGATAATGCTGCTATAAACATCAGGGTGCATGTATCCTTCAACCAGGAACCCTCTCTGACGATTACTTGGATCGGTTTAAACACCCCAAACGCCGCTCCCCGGGAGCAGCCAGGTCTGCAGGACCGGCTCCCAGCGCGGGTGGAGCCGCGGAGACCTTCCCGAACCGGTTACACCAGAAACCCCGAAAGCCAGTTGCTTTGTCCTCCACCAACCCGCTCCCACAGTGGACACCTTGGCGCGCCTGTTAATTTAAAAAGCAAGGGCGAGGGAGGGAGTCCGAAAGGAAGCCGGGCCTAAGCGGACCCTGCAATCCGGACCCCGGCCCTCACCCCTGCGGAGGGAATCCGACAAGGGGGGCGCGGCCCCGGCGGGAGCAGCTCGGGTGGGAATCCGGA